TTTTTTTTTGGTTTTGTCTCTTTTTATCGGTAGTTTCACTGAAAAGCATAAATTGCGAATTAGTTAGATAAGCATCGTTTTTGTTAATGGCAGAAAATTAATTCTAAATATAATGTATTTTTTGAAAACTTATTATTCTTCTTGGGGAATTCCGCAATCCGGTCCATTCAAGCACTTTCAGTTGATCATCAATTTTGTACCATCAAAATGCTTTGACCAGCCTTCGCCCGTTCGTTGATTATAATTATCTATTAAAGTATTATTAGTCTGCACCACTCTTCATACAAAATAAAAATCGATACTTGTTTTCCATCGGAGTTATAAAATTTATTATATTTTACGAATTTCGCCAAAACATTTATGCAAAATATTAAGATTTACGTGAGGTGGAGCGATGTGAAAATACCTACAAAAATCGAGTTTTTATTAATAAAATTATTGTTGAAAATAATTTTTCAAAAAACTACCTCAGATTATAGAAGAGTTTAAGCTGAAAAGGTCTGCATAAAAATGATTAAATAAATACTCATTTAATAAATTGTATAAATCTGGTGGAAAACCCGCAACTCTTTTTGGTGAGGCATCCTAATCTTCATATGTATGTACACATGTGCATTACATATATACCCAGACTTTGTTTCTTTGCGAAGAATATTCATTTTAAAAATAATTTATTCTATAAAGAATATAACTTCCGACAATCGCTTAACCTGCGCAGTTATTTGACCTTTAATTAGCCAATCACTTCTACAACTGACAAAGCCATAAACGGAAGTTTCTTAGCATAATAAATTTTGAATTTTTTTTGGTATTTATATATCGCATACTTTATCATCTATTAACCGGTATCTCTCATTGTGCGCATGTGTGTACATTTAGCGCTGAGCTCAGTACGATGATTGAAGATGCCGAATATATTCGAGTTCCTTTCAATAATCATACATGTTTTGTTTTTGTAATCCAAGCACCTGCCCGCAAAGTCAAACCGACTGAAAAAGTGGCATATAATAATTTGTCAAAACTGCGAATATAAGAGTTTTAAATTCACAAATTTTTGTTTCAGTATTAGCAGATTAGGTTAAGATAACTGCTGGCGAAAACACCCTAATACACACATATGGACATACATTATATTTATGCGCAATGTTAAGTTTCAAATGTACCCGGTTTCACACTTCTAAAATAACTACTAGTAGTCTACTATATTTTTAGAGGAGTAGAAAAACTTGTCGGTCAATTGAGATGAATATGAAGCACGTGAACGACCTTGTTGCGGTTCAAATACCTCATAAGACAAACTAATGTTTACGCTTGGCAAACGCAATGTAATTACATAACTATGTAGTATTTAGCATGCAACTAGTTCTAAAGTAACAAATAAACATAAGTTTACTTTATGAATTGAAAATCACATATGTACATACCCATACATACATATATGCTGAACTAAGGAATACTGAGTATAGTGTGATACATTGAAATAGAACCTGCAAGTAACTAATATGCAAGGGAGTACCTAATAATTTTAATAGATTGGCGCTTACACATATGTTAGTGTTTGGCCGAGCTTCTCCACCGATTTTTGCGTGCGCCTTGATCTTGTCACACAAAGGGAGGGACCTAGGAGAGCAGTTTTTCATGACAGAAATACACACGCAGGTTTGCCATTGGCAACAGAGGGGCGCCAATAAGAAAAAAACTTTTTTTCATTAAAGTGAAAGCTAATCGTTAAGTTGGAAATTTTCAGTATCAAATTTTTATATTTTCGTTAGCAAAGATAAGCCAGAAGTATTCACGCATCGAGTTCGGGATTAAGATTATGACGCAGGCGATATATAATCAGCGGTGTGTATATTCTAATAACTCAGTTTAATCAAAGTTTTCGTGATATGTCTTGACATGGATTTACTGGGTGGCTTTAATTATAAATAACATACGTACATACATACATATAAATCTTTATATTTATTAGCTAAAAAATAAATTTCTTGATTACTTATTTTTAAATATGGCTAAAACTTTATAACTGCGTGACTTTTTAACAAAAAACAAAAAAATATTATTTATGATAATGCGCATGCACTTGTTAAAATTCTAGATTGCTAAGCAGACATTTAATGTGCATACCATAAATTCTTGCCGAAAACCAAAACAGTAGAAAAAAGGATTTGTTGAAAGACCGTTCATACCAGGCGCTTGTTGATTTCAACTAAAAGTTGCCTGTGAGATCGCCACATGTAAACACCGCACAAGATTTTACAAGGGAATGCAGAACAACAAAAATTAAAGCTGGGAGTGGAATTAGCAACAGCAATGAAAGTTCCAAATTTAATCCGGAACGCAAGTACCATATTCCGATGAAACACGAAAAACACTCTGAAAAAGATATGTACTCGTACTCGTTCATTCAATAAGAATATGAATGATTCATTTTTCGTTTTGAATGGATTCATGCAGACGTCTTATATATATGTACATTTACAAGAATTGCTCGTTTAAGGTAATAAGATTTAGTAGGTCTTTTCAATATAATTTGACAAACGCTGATTATATAAACAATTTTTAGATAAAATAAAATCCACAAATAAAATGGCAGACCACAAATAAAACCCCCCAGTGGGAAAATGTAATGTACAGTAATCGAAAAAATAATCAGTAAAACAACCCTTTTCAAATTCGAAAATGCATTTTTCCCCAGAGCGATGTCCTCAGAAAAAGTGGAGCATTCAATTTTGCATTACCTAGTATCGATAAACGAATGCGATTTAGTATGAAATTTTTGGGACTTTTTGAATACATTAGAATGCTGATTACATATTAAACAGTAACTGGATGTAAAACTCATAAGAAATACATTCCATTATTTATCATGCACGGAATGCATCACTACTTTTCCCACTGGAAAGTTTAGCTAACAAAAAATTAGGCTGATAATTATAAACACATAAGACGACAACGAAAAATGGTAAAAGGTAGTCACATGCATTTATTCATTGGTAAATTCTAAAGTGTCGCGGCGATCACTTATTGGAAAAAACCTTTCGCCATTATCTTAAGTGGTGCTTATCTAATGAGAGTGAACAGCTGAGGCTTTAAATATATAAAATTGGAAATTTTTATTTCATTTACACATAGCTGATATGAACGCTAAAATGCTGGATACTAGAAATATGTAATTATTTCCATATAATTTTTATATGCGCAAACATATATCTTTAATTTCTTCCGCAGGAAACAAAACGTAATTAAATATTAAGTACTTAATCTATTGCAATTTATATCAATAAAAAGCTTCTAAAACAAATATAAACCCATAGTACAGTTTAATAATTCTCAAACGAATTAACTGAAGTAATCCATCGATTAACTGGTTCGTTCAAGTTAAAACTTATATATACCTATTGTAGTTTATATGTGTATATATATAATTATCTCTTTTTTAAATGCAGATTTTTGCTATGAAAACTTATAATCTCACACAAATACTCGTATTTCTTTTAAGTTAAGGAAGTTTTCTAACATTTCCGGTTTATGTCATAAATTATTTCCTTTATGAAGTTCGATGGTTGTTTATTCTACTAAAACAAAAAAAAAACGAACACAGTGGCAAAAAGTAACTATGCAAAGGAAAGCAGTGTAGATGAAAATGAAAATAAAAATTATAATAATTTGACAAATAATATTTATTCGTTGCATTATGCAAAGTGTTGCTACTCGTCGCCATTATTCAAATATCAGCTGCGAATATGTATATAGATTTGTTGTTGTTTTCAGGGTGTTAAAGTTTTGTCTTCTTCTTGATAGACACAATAACATCTTTAGCGATTTTGGGCTAAGTTCGGCATAGCACCCTAGTGAAGCTAAGTTTCTCTCCACCTGATCTCTCTAGCGTAAAGGAGGCCTGCCTCTTCCTATGTACCGCAACGAATATTTTTCGAGCTGGCTGGAGGGATTGTGTTCATTCGTGACGTGGACATTTGGAGGATCTCAAGCCATTTCTGAATGATCCTGAGCTATCCTTCTACAAACCCTACCAATTCAGAATTCCTGAAAGGGATTGCTGTGAAGCAAAAAAAAAACTATGATAGACGAAAGGTCCCAAGTATGGTATACCGATGGATCGAAGATGGACGACGGGAGTACTAGCACAGGCATACTTGGATCAAGAATCCACAAAAGTCTGTCGAAGGGTACATGCTCAACCATGTTCCAGGCGGCAGTCTTCTAAGTCGAAGTCTGTGTTCGCGAATATTTTCATAAAGGACAAATTGGGCCAAAATAAAGATTATGCCGCAAAGTCAGGCAGCGTTAAAGGCCTTAGAGTCTTTGTCTGTCTCGCATAGCATGGGGCCCAGATGCGCTTGCATAGTCCTGAGCCTTTCAATGGTACATCTAAACGATACACTGCATAACTACTTAGGAGCTTGGAAGAATTACAGATTGCTTGAGACAATCAAAGAGATTCATAAGTTCCCCAGGAGCAACTCCGAAAAACTTCTTGAACGTAGCCGGGAGAGTCTTAGAACTCTTACTGGCCTCCTCACAGAACGCTGCAAGTTAAGGTACCATTTAAATAAAATGGGGATTTCTCTAGAGGCGGACTGTAGGTGGAGGAACCCCCAAAGCATATTCTATGACTGCTCACTTATAATGAATAGCAGAGTGATGCACCTTGGGTAACGATTGTCTTCTCCATCCAAAATTTGGAACATGGCAAAAAGCTTAATTTCTTCAATAGCCTTAGGTTGGAGTTATTAGGGTTTAGCAAAAGAGATCTTCATATTAGAAGGCAGGGCGAGTATTGCTGACGTAATAATAATAAGAATAAATAATAATAATAATATGACTATATATGTAAAGAGACATACAAACATTTGTATAAGGCAGTTTTATGTGTTCTTATACGCAGTTAACTTGTTTTCAGTGTACTAGCTGTGTTTTGTTTTTACTAAATGTTATGTTATCTACATTTTTACTAAACTTG